GTTTTCTCCGTTTTTCTCTGAGTATTGAAGGACTGTAGTGGTAAACTTTGCTGCCCGCCAGTACCCTTTCGAATTCAAATGCGAGAAAACACTGAAGTGGTGTTCGTGTAAACAGTGTCGCGTTGTGTAGTACACCTCCAATGTTCAGTAGAAATATGGGCCATTAGTAAACTTTGTTTTCTCAAAACCAAAACTGCTTATACATCTCCGCTTTCCCATGATACGGGTGTGCTAATGTTTGAGACCTCGAATACTGACTCGCGTAAGGTAATAGTATATCTGGTTAAACTTCGGAATTTCGAGTCATCTGTAACTGGAGTGTTTGAATATCTGACACATAATTTCGAATCGTTCAGACTCCTTCGACGGGTTAGTTTGCTCCGTTAGGGGCTCTTCCTGTGCGAGACATGTGGACTGTGGGAAAGCGACAGTCGCAGAGTGCTTTAACCGCGTAAATGGAAGTCCGAACGTGAACGCGCTATATCTCCCCTGAGCGACTCGAGCACACGCCAGCCCTCGCCTAAATGATCACACACACACACCTATTTCAGCGTGCTCGGGCTGCACGCTGTAACAAGCCTCCTGGTTTATTTTCTTCACTCTCAAAATCTCGGCGACAGTGTATGTGCCCACATTTCTACTTCACAACAATAGCATGGAATTAGGCATGCCATCAAGTAAACTGAAGGTGCTATTGCATCTTAATGAGTATTTTAACGAGCAGCACTTGCTATCGAAATGATATGCAATGTGATACGTGGCGAAGGAGTAACAAATATGTGAAGGACTTCTCTTCGTCCCCGTACTCTTCCTAAGGGGCATTGCGTCAGTTTCTGACAAACGCCACCACGCACAAAATCGGACCGTGCAATGTTCCCGCACCTACGAGATTATTCTAATAAAATACGCTGTACCTAACCCCGTTCCTACGCAGCGGATCGGGGAAGGGGGGGGGGGGGGGGGGGATTGAGCGCACCCGCACCGCTTACCCCCCCCCCCCCCCCCCCCAAGCCCTCTAACACACACACATACACACACTCCTCGCGGCGCACGCTCGCGCGCGCTACCACGCAAACCAGCAACAGTGGCAGCAACAGCTGCGCTCTGTTGCTGACACTAGGGAGTTTTCGTATATCGTTTCCGCTGTCCCGCAACCCTCTCCGCAACCAGCTACGATACCCGGAACTCAACAGTTAAAGCCATCGCCGCGCAGGCGCAGTAGCGGCTTCTTCGTTGCGGAGGGCTTAGCGGAGGGGAAAACGCGGTCTACGAAAACTTCATACTCTTGCATGTCCTCTTTACGGTGTGACCAAAATCAACACGAACAAGCGAGGTCCGTGCAGTTTCCATGTAAATTGCTACCGCTTGAAAACGAACAAAAAGAGTATCTGAAAGTTCGAACGACGCGTGGGAGAAAACATGCACGAGGAGAAGAGCGAGCGCAAGGAAGAGATCGTGAACGACACCGTTCTTCCCGCATTCGTTTCTAATTTGCAGAAGGCGCAGAAGCGAGGGACGGCACCGCTGGTACTCTGGCTGCAAGGCGGTCCTGGAGTCTCGTCCCTGCTCGGCCTCCTGGTGGAGAACGGCCCGCTCGAGTTCTCCCCGGGCGACAGTTCGGCCGTCTTCCGGCCGCTCACCTGGGCGCACTCAATGTCCATGGTGTACGTGGACCAGCCCGTGGGCACCGGGTTCAGCCACTCTGAGAGCGGCGACCGGGGCTTTGCCAGGAGCGCGGCCGACGCCGCCGGAGACCTCTACGAGTTCCTGGGACAGTTCTTCGCCCTGTTCCCGGAGTACCTCTCGAACGACTTCTACATTGCCGGAGAGAGCTACGCAGGCACGGACGCGTATTCGATAGCTCGCAGAAGGAATGCGGAGAGCAAGTCGTCTGCTTCTTCCGCAGGAGTTGTGGTATGGTGCCTGGAACGCGTCTCCGACTGGTGTGTTTACCGGGTTCAAAAAAGCGGTCCCTCGATTTCCGCCTGATGACGTCATAAAAGTGTCATGCTGTCGCCTGTTGCGACCCTGGCGGCGCCCCAACAGTTGTGGTATAAGTGGCAGACGCCTGTTCTGCTGCAGGTCGCTTTCCACTGTGACAGTTCAGGGAAGCTGAAGCAGCCGGAAGTTGGGACGCCTAAAGGGACGCCGTGACGAAAGCGACACTCGCGTTCGCTCGTGCTTTTCGCCAGCATTTCTACGGCCAACCGCCAGGATCGCTACAGGCAACAGCATGACACTCGCGTCATTTGTTGCCACACTGGGACCACTTTTGATGTATGGGCGGGATAGGACGCTAAACACACCAGTCGAAGACGCGATCCAGGCACCATAGTTGTGGTGACGTCAGAACGACGCCGAGCTCCGACTGGTTTTGATTGAAATAATAGTGGGTATAGTCTACCCGCTGTTTTTTTTTTTTTTTAATTATCCAATAAGAGTTCGACGTTCTCACATGATCGCAACATCTGTGCAAAAAGCAGACGGACTTGCGCTCCGCATACCACCTGGAAGACAAGGCCTTCCGCATGACGTCATCGTTAGTGGATCCTCGCACCAAGCGGCAAACCCGGTGGAGCTTTAGGTGGAGCCCGAGGAGAACGCCGCAAAGCGGCAGACGCGTCTGTCTTGGCGCCGCCGTGTGCTATAGCATCCCGCTTGCCGTAAGACATTTCAAGACGCGCTGGCGGCCATGCTGAAGCTAGCTACTCTCCAACGCACCGTATACAAACAAGCCCCGCGTTTGCCCACACCGGGTGTGGACATTGTGCGTGCGCAGAAACCAGATTCGCCCGAGGCATCTGCACATGCGCAGTGCCGACAGCAGCGCCACCGTGGTGGCGTGACCTCAGAGAGTCGAGATGAGCTATGCGTAGCGCAAGTTCGTCTGCTTCTTTTGCATGGGTTGTGTTGACGTCAGAACTCCGAGCCCTGATTGGCCCTGATTGAAGGACAGTGTGTATATACCTCAAGGCAGCTTGCTTTGAGGTCTACCCATTATTCTTCAAGAGTCAATCAGAGGTCCGCGTTCTGACGTTACCACAACCTCTGCAAAAGAAGCAGACAAACTTACGCTCCGCATAGGCGGTGCTGCGTGTATCCACTAGTGATGACGTTTGGGGTTAAAGGTGCGCACGCACCTTTAACCTTAAAACTCCTCCTCAAACTGTCTTCTAGGTGGTATTGCTCTGGGTGGGAACCATGGCGCCGCCATCTTTGTCTGCTAGGCTGTGGAATGCGTCCTGAGCATGCGCTGCGGCTCTCTTCTGAAGAAAATCACGCGACACGCACGCATGTACAGCCCGATGACTCGACGTTTTCCGTCTGAGTGGTAAGAGGCTCCGAACTCCAACACGCGGTCGTTACCTTTCGCCGGGCCTTGACTGCACTTGCGACGAAGTATTACAGACAGCAGTAAGCTGAGCGCTCGAGGCGGAGCATCTACTGGGTTCTTAACCCTATCACTGACCATAGCTAGAAAGCCGTAGGGCTTAATGTTTATGCGTCATCTACTGAGGGCCTGTGCGCGGCAGATATCGGTCACTATAGTGCCGCACCTCGGCGTTAGGTTGGGATTTCCTGTTCTCACTAATTGAACCCGAGCTTCAGTCGAACACAGCCCTCGCTCGTATCAAAGTGGACATATAAACATTGATTCAGCACCACAACTTTCTTATGCGTTGTACTAGCTTGGCTAACCAACGCGCTTATCTGGCTTGCATGTGCGCCGCCGCACCGCTTGTTTTCACTTAGGGGTATCGGTCTACACGTTCAGTATCACACTCGAACATGGATTCGGTCACGACACTTCGTACTCAGGCTGGGTGGCCACAACCCCTGACTAGCGAAATGCCAATATTGGATGCGATGATCGTTCGCCGAGGCTACCCTCATAGCTAAAACGATGGTCTTGATGACTATGTCTATAAGCCATTTGTAATGAAGATTACATTTTTTAGAGCGCAGCTCTTAGGCGCCCGTTTCCGGCTTGAGCGGCGTCGCCGTCGCCGTCGGCGTAACCGCGCGGTGCATTATGGGTAAATTTTCCCGAAGGAACCCGAGGTCCTCCCGAGGTCCTCCCGAAGGAACCCGAGGTCCTTCGGAAGCACCTCGGGTTTCTTCGGGAGGACCTCGGAAGAACCTCGGGAGGACCTCGGGTTCCTTCGGGAGGACCTAGGGGGGGGGGGGGGGGTCACGTGACCCCTCCCCCCGAGGTCACGTGATCTCCCAGGTCACGAGACCCCCGAGGTCACGTGACCCCCCCTTCCGAGGTCAACTGATCCCCCCAGTACCCTTTCCTCCTCCTCCTCAAGAGCTGCGCTCAAATTCGGCGTTACAGGGAGTTGTAAACGGCTTTCATTTTTTTTTATTTGTTTGTTATTTGCTGGTTTGTGATTATGAGGCTTGTTTACCAGGTAAACAAGCCTTTTGAGGCTTGCTTATCTGGATAACTTTCTGTTCACTTTTTCAACGCAACCACTAAACAGATTTTTTTTGTCCCAGTAGTGTTTTAGTTTGTTCATACCTTAACAGACAATGGGGACTTTTAGCGAACCGTTTCGCGTGTTCCGCGTACCCAACTACTTTTCACGTTTATATCGCCCACTATCTCAAAATTTCTGAAACCGAGCGGAGTTGCCCTTTAAAAGCATGCTTCAAATGCTCCGGTGTAGTGCTATACGCGGAACACACGGTAACGGTTTGCTAAAGGTCCCTGTTTATTCCAAGTAGCGGACATGGGTGCAGTCACTGCGCTAAAAGCTACGCAGTCGAAGCCCAAATGTCACCAAGGTGCTCGAGAGCTCCAACTGCAAATTCGAAATCCCAGACCTCACCGTGTTAAATGGCCAGCTCTCCAAACCATCCAAAGGGAATCGTAAAATTTGGGGAGTTTTAGAAGATCGTTTCGATAACTCCGATAACGATACCCCCCGATACTCCGCCCACGCCTAAGCGCATTCATCGTTTCGTCATCGGCTACCGCACTTTTCGCGGTTGTCGGGACCCGCAACGCGCATTCCGGTTTGGCTTGGATCGATCGTCCTTAAATCGACTTTCTGCGGATGGACGATAAAGCTTGCCAAACGCACACTTCGCAGCATTGCAGCATTTACCCTCCCCTTTTTTTCAAAGCTGGCCTCGTTCCCGCTTGCCGGCTGCTATAGTGTGTATATGCAAATGAAAGTTCACAGCATATCCAAACGAGACTGCACCAATCGCGTGTAGGCAAGTTCGTTCCACCGCTGGCCAGGATGCTGAATATCCTGCGGTACGACCACTCCCTGCCGAAGGTGAAGGGCCTGATTCTGAGCAGTCCGTACGTGGACCCCGAGACGCAGGTGGACATCAGCGAACTCCTCTACCAGACGGGCTTCGTCAGCGAGAAACAGGCGTCGGTCATGAGGGCGCAGTTCCAGACAGTCCTCCAGCTCGTCCACCGGGACAACTTCACCGAGGCGAAGCGGGTCATGGACACCGTCATTGGTGCGAAGTTCTCATCTTCATAATCTTCATCATCACCATAAGCGCGCATAACCGAGGGGTGTTGCCCCAAAGCATGGAAGTAGTGAGCTAGTGGAGATCTAGTTGCTTTGGCTGGAGCAGAGCGTGGGCTTTGTTCACCCGTCACAAAGGGAATGGCCAGCACAATCCAACCTAACCATCATCAGTTAGCTGGTGGAGAAGTAGCTCCTTTGGCTGAAGCACAGTATGACCTCTTCTCAACCGTTACAAAGGGAATGGCCAACGCTCCAATCCAATCCAGTTATGTTCCTGACGTTACGACAAGGCGGTAGCGCTGGCTTCTGAACAGCGCACAAGCTGACGCTTCGCTCTTTGAGAAAAGGGACTTCTGCGCTAGCGCATGTGCCTGTAGCTCATGCGGGAAACTTACAAACACCACATTGGCGTTTGCTTATGTGTAGTGTGTTTTTAAAGTTTGTATATATTTAAAATCAGCGGTATGCTCCCTTCAATCCGCGGCGGACGCATAGTCAATCCAGCGCTGTGAACGCCTGTGGGTCGCTGTGCATCTTCCGAAGGTCACGTGATGCACGGCAATGGATTGGCTTCGGTGGTTCGCTGCGTCCACTGCTGTCCATCGTAAGGTGCAACGGAGTATGGTAAACGTTGGGTATTTATTTTATTTCAGGTATGGAATGTCTTCCATATTGATCTTGGTTCTTAAACGTCCCTGTTTGCGAATTTCGGTCCACCGCGCGCGGTGTGTGTTCCAAGCTCGTCGAAATCGGGACTCTTTGCAGACGGCAGCTGGGGCCTGCCGGCGACGCTGTTCGAGAACATGACGGGGCTGAGGCAGGCATTCAACCTCGACCTGAGCACGGATCCCCCCGAACTGGCGGCCTACCAATCGTTCCTGGAGAGGCACGACGTGCGCGCCGCTCTGCACGTCGGGGACGTACCCTTCTCCGACGATTATTCCCTGGTCCAGAAGCACATGTACTCGGACATGATGAGATCGCAGGCGCGCAACTTCGGGGAGCTGCTCGACCAGGGCATCAAGGTGAATCTTCGTGGGCGACGTGTACCCTCGATGTTTACGGAGCGCGTCTCCAACGCTTGCATTCGGTGTTGTTTCATTCTTCACTCGCCGAAACAGTAGTAGTTCTGTTTGCTGCAGGTGCCAACATAACATTTACATCCCTGTGCTCGGCACGTACATACACATGTGACTGCAATCGTTCCGTTTCCCGCAGTTATAGGTGGTGTCCCAAGCTCTGCAAACATAAAAACACCTCACCATCCCATGAAAGGCATGCTCTGCTTGTCACGAGCTGCAGTGAGTATCTGTGTCGTTAAAGGTTTCCTCCGGCGATTTCTTGAGGTACCCCAACTATGTTTTCTGTATCCCCGGTGATTACCCTTCCCGGTATGCTATTTAGCTTTGCGAAATTCCTAATAGTTATTGCGGAGTCGGCAAACGCAAATGTTGCAAAAACCAACATTCATATATATATTCGCACTTTTCAGTGCCGCGACGTCAGTGGAAGCCAGGCTTGCCAGACTTGCCAGTCGAGCAAGCAGTCTAAAAAATGGACTATGCCAAGCATTTGTTCCGTGCTGGTGCGCGGGTACTGGACGGAGCTTCCAAAGCATTAATTCGACACCATGAAACTACCTGTAATCAGCTGGGAACAAAATATACAGTCCAAAGAACGAGCCCATGCCTTTCACTGGCGTCACTTTTTCATTGTTGCCTGTAGACTTTCAGTTTGAAAAGCACAGTGAGGATCAAAACTGTAAATTCAATAACTTCGCATATATATATATATACACATTTTTTTTACCTAATATTTCGGATACTATATCAGCGATGTTCTTTGTTGTGTTTAAAAAATTTTCAGCAAATCGGGGACCATGAAGGAATCGCCGGAGTAGCCCTTAAAGAAGGTTAAGAAAAGCTGTACAAGCTCCTTCCACAGAGCCCTCCGTATATTCCACTTTAGCAGAACGAACGCTGGAGAGAAGGCGAGTGGAGAAGGAAACTCCACCAATCAAGTCGAGCAGATCACTTTTGTGGGAGGAGCTTGCCCTGTTTTAACCTACAACATGCTATGGTCAGAGAGGGTGGCGCACAGGGGCTGCAGGAGCTAGGGGTGGTAGTGTATATACTCAATCTATTCAACACCCAGTGGTGTCAAAACAGGAAAGATCGCCCCCCTGCCCACACATTTTTTTTTCTTTTTATAATGGCAGCATTTCTACAGTACAGCCCCCCTCTCCACCGCCACTCCCCATCGCCCCTCATCTCTGAAACACTTCCGACGCCCCTGACCTCCAGGACGACAAAGCCGCATAGTGCTGGGACGCCAGCTGCAAGCGGCCAGAGGACACAGATTGGACACGAGTACAGCGTCAGCATTCAGCTGGGACGCCTGTTCAGTCAGTGATCAATCTGTGGATACGCGTGCTAAAGGTGCCGGTGTAACCCGCACTTTTGTGTACTAGTAAAAGGACAGTTTTATCAATGTAACTCCAAGCGCAGAGTCCGATATACCGGCTGGTACGAAAGACTCATTGGGCACACTACGCGCTTCTAAGGAAGGACCTGTATAAGACTCGTTGTCACATCAAGAAAAAAAAAAAAGAAAAGAAAAGAAAGAAAGTTTTGAGCAATGTTTATCCGCCGCACGAAGTAGTCCCTACAATATTTGGTTGTCATGGAAGAAACAATGCTTTTGGCGTTCGAAACCTGTATCCGCAATAGCCACACATTTTTTTTTTTTTTTTTTTTTATTGCGGTTTTTGAGGTGAGTACGAGTGAAGTTTGTTTTACGTCATGTGCAAGTCGAAACCGAAAAAAACAAGCGCGAGCATGTCGCCAGGAAGGCACGACGTATGAACTGCTAGACCGCTCGTGCTCGTCAGGGGAGCTGAAACCGCTGAGCTCGCTCTTGTAGCTTCTGCTGTATAGTCAAAGCATGAAGACAGAGTATAGAATAACTCGAAAGGAACCCTCTGAGTGGACTGCAGGCGACGTTTCGCTAAGAAAGCTTCCTCGGGGCTCTAAGGGAGCTAAGTCTCTTAGGGGAAACCATCCTGAGGCTTCGATGGATGTTTCGAAGTGGTATCCGGATTGCCGGACTGTACCTCGAACGCAGCAACGGACGCGTACAGTTCCGTGCACTATATGTGTTGTAGGTGTTGGTGTTCGGAGGCCAGAAGGACCTTCTGGTCCCGTTCAGTTCAGTGGAGCGCCTGATGAGCAGGCTGGACTGGAAGGGCCAGCTGGAGTACAAGGCCACGGAGAGGACGCCCTGGATGCTCGACCACTCCCGCGTCGGGGGTTACTTCAGACAAGTCCGCAACTACACCGAGGTCGGTGTAGTTGATGTGTATGTTCTCCGAAAATTGTGGTAGTGCGTACCGCAGTCAAGAATCAGTACACTTAGGGGACAGCTGGAGGGCTAAGGTAGAATCCCCGCGTAAATATGGTTGTTTTTCGTGGAAGTTACGGGATTTGCCGAAGACCTTGGTAGTCTTTAACGTTTAGTCAGCGACTGAACGTTTGATCCAATTGTTTAAATTTGTTTAGAAGACGACGCCAAACAGCTGTTTAAGAGCATATTGTATAATTTCCAGCTAAATGTAGCGTGAAAAGTTCCGCTAAATCGCTCCGCTATATTAAAGTGATGCTGAACCGAAAATCGAATTTCCGAAAACAACGCAGAATTGATAGGCTACAAATCCCTAAACGTCACTCATAAAGCGCTATCTCCAACGAATTGACGTATTTTTGTAAAAGAAAAGCGGGCTCGCACAGGGCCGAAAAGACGCGTGACCTCGCGATTCTCATTTCCTCCTCTTATCGCTTTGACTCCCCGAGGGCGCGGGGAGGAAATGGAGCGAGACCCATTACTCCTCCCTCTCAACTCTTCTGCGATGAGATGACGTCAACATTCTCCCTCATTCGCTCCTTTATTTTCCAAAAATACGGAAATCCACTCGAGATATGGCTATTTGAGTGATGTTTCGTGGTTTATGCTGTCCTGTTGAACACTTCTGCGAGCTTATTTTGTGAAATCCGAATTTACCGACATCTGGATTTCACAAAGCACGGCTGCAAAAGCGTGCAACGGGATGCTACAAACATCAAAACATCACGCATACAACAATATATCGAACGGATGACCGTATTTTTTTTTTTTTTTTTTAATAGGCGCATTTGACAAATTAGTTTGTACGTCTTATTTCTCCGAGAAGGGGAGAGAACGCCCTTGCATCTTCTCCGCCTCGCCGCCTTGAGGGGGCGAAGCGAAGAGAGGAGGAAACGAGATATCTTGACCACGCGCCTCGTCGGCCTCGTTCAATCTCGACGTCTTTTTCCAAAAATACGGCCGTCCATTCGAGATATCGCCTTACTAGTAGTGTTGCAGGGATTGTAGCGTCCCGCCTACAGCTCCTGCATTGTTTTCTGAAATCCAAATTTCGGTTTACCATACCTTTAAAGAGATGTTAGGTTTACCATCCCTTTAAAGGGATGGTTGTTAGGTTTACCATCCCTTTAAAGGCCCGTTCACACTCTTGCGACTGCTTGCGACCTCTTAAACCTGGGTTCCTTAAAACTTCTTAAACCAGAGAACACACTGGCGCCATCTATTGGGAAGCAGTGTAAACTCGGCGGTCCGGCATATTTTTTTTTATTTCTCGCGCAATATCCTTTCTTTTTTGGCTCGAAAAACTTTTGTCAATGTTATAAACGAGCCTTTATATGGGTATTACGCACATTTGACCTCGGAAATCCCGCAAAACCTTCGCTTTTGTGAAATGCAGTTCTAGGGTCACCGCATAGATGGCGCCACAATGTCAGTGTGTTCCCTCATCTCGTCTCTCTCAGTCGTACTCGGTCGCAAGAGTGTGAACGGGCCTTAAAGGGATGGTAAACCTAACAAAGAACACATGAAGCTTTGAAGCCACTGTCATCATCTTGTAAATAGAAAGTAACTCGGAAGAAGCACGAACCCATTGCATTTCATTCCCAAGCCCATTGTCGTGTGGTCAAACGTGCAGCCTTGATGTACACACTAATATTCTTACACTGAACAAAGTGTTCCATAGGCTTACACATATGGCTACGCCCTTTCAGCACACTTCTTTCCACTACTATCTTTTTTTTTTTTTTTTAGATCTTAAAATAGGGTGTTGTTGCATATGGAACATCCTCTGAAGGGTTTAAAAAAAGGCTATTGGAAAGGGTGCCGCTGTGGAGAAGGGTGTAAACGACCTTTCGTTCGCTTCAGACACCTTTAAGGGAGGTTTTTTCAGCGTCTATCGAATAAGTATTGCCTCTGACAATACCTTTGAGTTGGAGATATATTCCTCGAGCCTAGAGATATTATGCTTTATGTGAAATGCTGAGAAGAACGCAACGTACGCTGGTAACCTTCGTAATCGCGGAGGCGTGACCGGCGAATGAGTAACACTCAACGGGGTCTAGGTTGTGGTCTCGTGCTCCACTGCATCCGTACTTACGGTGTCTGCGCTTATTAACTTGTTCGTAAAAAATATCTCGAAGATGCTGCTAAGATTGCCAGCGCCCTGTTTCCAGGATGTTCGCCAGCACCCTAAGGTTGTTGCGGCAATCGACAAGTTGATTTCTCTCGAGGACGTAAAATATTTCAATGTGTAAAACTCCAGTCGCTCACACATCGTCCATCGTTGCTTCTGTGCAGGTCCTGATAAGGGGCGCTGGCCACATGGTACCTTTCGACAAGCCCAAGGAGGTGCTCACGCTAGTCAACAAATTCATCAAGAACCTTCCCATTCAGGAGGCTCTTTGATACATAATTATGGTAAACCATAATGGCATTAAAAAAAAGGAGATGGTCTTTTTAATTTATAATTTGCAACGGGCGTGTGTCTTCTATCATGGACATGAAAGAAGATAGTGGGTACGCCACAGACCACAAGCCTACCGAAAAATCGCATTGTACGAAGGCTAAGGGAGTGATGAAGGTGTTGGTAGGGGCAAGCGATATTAGACTGACATCCAGACGTTATCTTCTAGTCGCCTAGCACGTCATCCACTGCACACGGGGAAAAGTCGGGGCACAAAGATAGTCAAAACAGTACGCAGTCCGAAGGGTGCAAAACGGGACGAACAACTTGTTAGAGCTGAGTAGCATTTCGAAAAATCTTAAAGCGGTTATCAATATCTATCACTACGTTGCACCATAGCCGGGCTATCGTTGTACGTCTGTACAGCGTGTACAACCCCAAACAAAAAAAAAAAGATTTTTATTTTTTTCATTACAAAACTTTACTAAGCATCACCCAACGCTCATCCGCCTAGATGTAACGTAAACGGTCCAAACAAGAAAAAAAAGTTTAGGAGAGAAAAAAAAAAGGGGGGGGGGGGTATGAAGGGTACACTTTGTACAAGTGTAAAAAAACAAATGAACACTCGATGCCCTGAAACCGGGGCTCGCGGGCGGTCCCCGTTCGGCGCACCCGTGACGTCGCCCATAACTAATTCACTGGTGGCAGGCGGCAGCTCGCGATGTTGGCAGCCGGGCGGCAGTGCACGGGACAGCTCGTGCTCTGCTCGCGCAGACCCACAGCGGGTTGGTGAGAGCTAAAGTGAGAGCAAGCACTTGGGCGAATGCCCCCATCGAACGAACATACGCGCAATGGAAGCATGTCGCGCGTTACCCTTAGCTGAAATGGTGGACTGGTCACGAATCCGAACCTTCGCCCTTCGATGACAAACTGATATTGGTACGTAGTCCTTTTCGTTTTCCTTGGGGCAAAACAAAAAAACAAAAAAAAAAAAACAAAAACGCGGTGTTCTGAGCACATGCTCAGAACGAGCCCCCACTTATCTTCTGAAAAGAACTAGAATCTTGGTGTGGGGTGCAAGTTGTGGAAGCGTTCTGGAAGTTCATCGTAAGCTCGCGCTGAACAGCGGCAGACAACTATAGGGGGTATTCACCTAGGTATTCACTGGACGCCATACTTGAGGGCAATCTTTAGAGCCGCTTGCTCAGAACGAGTTCGCATAAATAGCATGCTAAGAACGTCAATTATGATGGTGCTGAATGCACGCTGCAGAAGAACTGTGGAAGCTCGGCACCAGCAACCGCTCGGCAGTCGCGCACACAGCTATGGCACGTTGCACACGGCCAGCGGGCGCGAGCGCGTTCAGAAGATTCCACCATATAATGTTGTCTTCGGCGTCTGCAAGACGTGATCATAAAGGCGGCGTTGTAGCGTTCGATCATGCACGTAAAAAAAGAGTACAGTTTGTGTTTTTACCGTCCTATCGAAACGCCAAGAATGCATTCCTTTCAGCAGTTTTGTTCACGTTTTCTTTCGTAGCGCCTTTTAGCAACGTGAGGGGGCGTAAGAACCTGCAATCGAAATGCGGAAAAATTGACGTCACGTGACCACAACACAGGGTGTCGCCCAGGGAACTCGCTGGCGTTTCCGGCTCATTTTCCCTGAATGGGCTCTCTTTTTGAGAATACCCCTGACAATTTATTCCCCGATTGTTCCCGGTAATTAGAATTTCCCTGACAATTCCCGGTTTCTCCGGTCGCTAGACACTTTGTCTACACGCAATCCAGCTTCACCTCCAAATATAGCGGGAAAAACGACGTCACATGGCTTCGCGTCACGTAATTTATAACCAATTCAGTTTCGCCGCCAAATTTACCCGGAAAAATGATGTCCCATGGCTTCGTGTCACGTAATTTATACACCAATTCAGTTTCCCCGCTAAATTTAGCGGGAAAAATGACATCACATGGCTTCGTGTCACGGCGGGTTGATTAACGTCCCGAGACCTGATGACACGTGAGGTGACTTATACACCAATTCAGCGTCCCCGTCAAATTTAACGGGAAAGGTAATTTACGTGGCATCGATTGCATAGCGGTGCAGATCTTGCTAAACGTTTGTGATGCTATAACGTTTCACGTATTTAAAGGAGCTGTGCAATAGTTTCAGTGCTTTGCTTAAATAATTTAGGAGACGGTTTTGGGAACCTAGGATAGATGTCGCCACTAAAACTCCGTATAATAAAAGTTTTGTCGATGATACCAGGTTTTTGACGCATTTATATTTATGTTGGAACGACAAGATTTATAGAAAAGTTGCCCTTTATCGAGCAGGTATTCGCACAACTTGCTATCTTTCTACAAGACCCCCATTGACGTCACACCGCGTGTTTCTCGTGGCCGCCGCTCGCGGCTGCAGGTCGGGAAATATTCTAAGTTTTGCCTCGCTATTACGCGGCGGAATCGCAACATTTCGAAGGAAGGTGTTTTCTGTCCTTTGTGACAAGGTGAGCTCCTTTTTGCCATTATTTTTTTATTTTTTATTTGGGGGGGGGGGGGGGGGTCACGTGATAAGCTTCCTTTCGTCACCCAGTGTAATATATAAACTGCGATAAAACCGAAAGAAAAAAAAAAACTGATTGCAGCGTGTAAAGTAGACAACATTTTAATATCTAAATGCAGTGGTTTGACCCCATAAATCTTTCTACATTTCGAACTTCGGTTAACACTGACGTTAGTGTTCACAAAACGTTAGTTTTCGAGAGCTTTAAGCAAACCTCGTGACGCCCACTCCGCGTTCACAACATCGCCTACCCAGCTTGGCTGTGTGAAGAAACGAGGCAGTGGCTTCCAGGACAGACATTCAACCACTATTATGTGTGCGGAACTTCAGATGCACAAAAACCTTAGTGGACACCGCCGACCGATGCAGTGTCCCTCGTGTAGAACTCGGACATCGACGACGACGCCGGCGACATCGACACGGACAAACAAGGCCTACGAGCGACGTGCGCCAGAATCACCAGGACGTCGACCAGAAGCACACCGGCGCTGGCCAGTACCAGGCCGAATCCAAGGAGCCCCGTCGAAATGCCCGAAGCCTCCGCGACAGACGTGTACCCGTCACGGCTCTCGTAGAACAAGTTGAGCGCCAACATGATGCCTCCGGCGATGATGAGGACACCGAATATGCCGAGGCGCAGCAAGCGGGCTTGAGACCACGGACTCGGAAAACGCGCAACTTGCAACAGAGGCGTTTCTTTCACGAAGAGCGGTAGCGTTGTCATGACGTGATCGTTCCTTCGATGCTCGGTTGGGGTGGTCGAATGATCGCCGCAGAAGAGAGGGATTCCAAGATGCCTTGACGAACGTAGACGGTAGAAGTTCCAGATGTGCTTGGCCGAAGCTCCAGATGGTCCTTGGCTGAGGTTCCAGATGGTCCTTGGCTGAAGTTCCAGATGGTCCTCAGCTAAAGCTCCCGATGACCCTTCTCTGCAACTTTAAGATATTCCTTTGTTGTCTTTGGCAGCAACTTCCAGATGGTCCTTGGCTAAGATGGCGTGTTGATGCAGTTCGGTTGGCGGCTGATTTCGTGTAGGCGAAGACTAGTCGTTACTACGAGGAATGCTGTTGCCTCTTCGAGCCTGAGCGTGAATTAGTGAAATACGCTTCGAAGGGCGAGTTTCTTGCCGACAATGGGTGTTAGCTGTTTCTAGTCGCTCACGCCAGCTGCGCGTGCGTGGGATAAGACAGAAAGCGGATGTGATAAGGCGATGAACAATCTATTTCACAGTCACTGCCAGCTCCTGAAGTAAAGAAAGAGGGGACATGGGAAGTCGAAGGAGGGCCAAGGCCTATGTTGACTTTGCCATTTTGCAATTGGTTCTCGAAGCTGTTCTCTTGTAAACTATGCTTACTCACAAATAACACTAGAAAAAAAAAAAAAAAAGGGGAGGGGGGGGGGGGGGAGGGGGTGCACTAGTGAGGAAGAACAATTTTGATCGGCATTGCACACTGCTCGATTCCGACGGCGCGTTGGGCCTTTGAAGTTTGAATGCACACACTGGTTTTCTTACACATATCGCGATGTACTTTAGCACAGATATTTATAATTAGACGGTGCCTTTGTTTCGTAAAAACATGGAAGTATGAGTTTTTTCGATGAATATAAGCCTAATATGCGTTGAACCATAACATAGCATGTTGGGCCCCTCAGCGTTCATTTTGGAAAAAAAAAAAAAAAATAAAACAAAAGCCAGTTTTATTTCTTTGTCTTTCCATTAACTTCTCTGTCGGAATAAACATCGACAATGCTACTTAATGATTACGCAAAAAAAAAAAAAAATCTTAGCTGATGTTTGTTTGCAGAAAAAACACGCCTGGTGAGCTCATATTTTCATACTTTCAAATATTAGATGCACCGTCTAGGTGCACCTCTGTAGTGAATCGTAGAATGATACGTTCAGAAACGATACGCTAATAAATCGGGACCATGACCCTTTAAGAGGATGTATTATGATTTATAAGGCACTACACGTTTCTGAGTGATTTCTTCAACATTTCAGAACTCTCAAAATGGAGGCCTGTCCTTGGCTTTTACCTGCGTATGCTCTCATATTTAAAATCCATAGGATGCGAAGCCTATGGCATCTCACTTGCACTAACCTCAATTTTTGAGGCTGACACTGCAGACGTGGCTTTTCTTTGTATTTAAGCAGAAATTCATCTTCTGGCGAGAAGAGCGTGTTCGATCCCCGAAGGTCGGATCACAGAAGCCACAAGATGTTTATACAATGACATACGTACGGCCCGAAGTGCAATAAAACTGACATTTGCCTAAGGGACCCATAAACTTCAACCGTCTCGCCCTGGTAAATCGCGTAAAAAAAAATGAAAGCCGTTTACAACTCCCTGTAACGCCGAATTTGAGCGCAGCTCTTGAGGAGGAGGAGGGAAGGGTACTGGGGGGATCAGTTGACCTCGGAAAAGGGGGGGGGGGGGGTCACGTGACCTGGGAGATCACGTGACCTTGGGGGGAGAGATCCTCCCGAGGTCCTTCCGAGGTCCTCCCGAAGGAACCCGAGGTCCTTCCGAGGTCCTCCCGAAGGAACCCGAGGTCCTTCCGAGGTCCTCCCGAAGAAACCCGAGGTGCTTCCGAGGTCCTCCCGAAGAAACCCGAGGTCCTCCCGAAGGACCTCAGGTTCCTTCGGGAGGACCTCGGGTTCCTTCGCGAAAATTTACCCACAATGCACCGCGCGGTTACGCCGACGGCGACGGCGACGGCGACGCTGACGCCCCTCAAGCCGGAAACGGGCGCCTAAGAGCTGCGCTCTTAAAAAAGTAATTGGAAACGCGGTTAAGCGGTCCTGCGATAACTACGCATCACACAGAAAAAAAGGTTGATGCCGAATAGTGCGATGCGAGGCTAGATAAAATATAAACTGTTTCTTTTTTAGTCCACTAGCTAAATTACAGACGTCTATTAACCAAATGCTCATTACCCGTAATGTATGTTTCCCTTTCTCTATATATACACCCGAGAGGTGGTGTTTTCTACTTAATCTGAAAAAAAGAATTTTATTTTATTTTTTCCTTTTATTTTTTTTTTAGATTCAAGGGGGGGTGTCCAGAAAAACTAGGGGGGGTCTCAACCCCCCTAGGGGGGGTCTAGGGAAATCCCTGGGCAGATTAACCCAATTTGTTCCTTCTCCTCGCCTCCTCCACTTCTCTTTGACCTCGGGCCTCGTCAGATTTGACGTCACACGCCACCTGCCACTTTTTTTTCTCCCGCAGCTCGTTGACCTCGCTACCGCCGTCGCCTTGGCAGGAAGGTCAAAGAGGTCCGGCTTCATTTGGGAGATTCCTGCGTCGAAGCGTGCGTTTCGCTTCCCGCAGAGAAAGGGAATGACACCTTCGTGTCATTCTCTTTCCATTTTCGGGACCTGAAAAACGGCAGAGGCCTTGAGCGATTAACTGACAGCCAAGAGTGTGTGAGTGGCTCTCCGCACCCACGTAATGAGCAGAGCAAGGCCGCCGTGAAGGAAGCGAGGGGGCAAGGAAAAACGGCCGGAAGCGGAGCGCCGCACGATTTGTCGGAGTCATGTCGCCCGACGATTTTTGTAGTATCCTGTTTGGACACCCCCTAACCTGGGGTCATTGACGTGTACCACGCAATAGGGATAGGGAGGGGGGATGTATACAACGGGAAAGGGGGTTTTGACTATGCGAAATGTTATTCTCCAGGCAGGGAAAAGACTCGCATAGCCAAAGGGGAGAGGGAAGCAAAGATGGTGGATTGAGATGGGTTGAATAAAATATTTTGGCAGTTACTAGGGGAAAGCGCCAATCAAATCATTTGTAGGGTAGAGGGAAGGGGGGGGGGGGCAAAGCGTTGCTAACACACGGCTAAAACATGGTTCAAAGTAAACGTTCGATAAAACGCACAAGTGATACACGACCACACGGCTAAAACATGGTTCAAAGTAAACGTTCGATAAAACGCGCAAGTGATACACGACCACACGCCGGTACGATGCTCATCCAGATCGAAACGGGCAGAGGTAGGGATTGAACCCAGGATCCCTGGGTTCTGCAGCGCGAGCTTTTGCTCCACGTGCTCCGAGCTGGTGTCGTCTGCTACGGGCCGACTTCTTTTTCGCCTGAACAAAAGTTTGTGGCCAGACGTCGAGAAAACTTAATTTCTTAGCTTTTTCACCCTCCGAGAAATTACAGTTTACCATTTTCTTGCCCAAAACAGCAATAAAAGGAAATAAAAAAAAAGGAAATTTAGATGCTGATTTTATGCATTCCACCGAGCGATTGAATGAAAATGGCAGCCCCTTCCAGAGTGGGTGTGGCAACGAAGGCGCCGGAGAGGAGAAAAGTGAAGGAAAGGGAGGAGAGCGCCGAAGGAGCGAGGAAAATGGGAGCAAACAGGAGACGATCGCCATTTTGACGCAACACTTGTAGGCGGAGACCACTATTGAGGCTCCGCGGCGTCTGCTACGAGCTTATTTCTTTTTCGCCTGAATAAAAGTTTGCGTTCAAACGTGGAGAAACTTCATTCCTTAGAACCGAAATTCGGATGTCGATCCCATGCATTCCGCCGGGCGAATGAATGGAAATGGCGGCCCTCCCAGCCCAGCTGGAAGCAGCCGGGAGTGCACGCGCACGCGCTCACGCCTTCCGCTCTGCTCCGCGGGCTGATTGGTTCACTCGGCAGAGGGGCGTTACGGCGGCGAGATCACAGACTGGCCACCTTCTCCCCATATACGGCTCTGTGCGTAAAACTTGCGCCGCGTGGCGCCAAGTTTTACCGCTCATGCGTTCCCTGCTTGTGATGCGCAACATAATTAGGTGCTCGAGGAACAACCGTCCTTATTCGCGCACATTTTCAACGACGCGCGACCGGGCCTGCCAGGGGCCCTAAACCGGCAGTGCCCCTTCCGGGAGATGCGCAAAGTTTGAGTGAAATTTCGGCCCCCTTTCCGGCCTTGTTCATAACCTCTCTATTCTTCCACCGTGCTCTACAGCAAGCCAGAGCCGTCTGGAGCCAGCTAGCGATTTCTCTAGACCAAATTTTATTGCACGGTGCCGATAAGGACTACAATGTTCCACGTCTGCAACACATCCCTCCACTCTGAAAATAGCCACCATATCCTAAATTGATAGCACCACCCCAAACGGTTTTTAACAGAAAAGCTCAGGAGCTCCAGTATCTGACAAAAATTTATTATGCCAGCTTTTTTTTCAACAGTATTGTTTACAAGTTACGCTTGCACATCACCCACAATACCAAGCTAGCTCACACTTCAACAAAATCTACTGCAATGTATCACATATTATGCAGCAATAGTCTATTATGGCACTGCGCATCAGCACTGCCAAGCATGTTTCTTGCTATTCTAAATTGAAAGCCCTTTAGCATTTCTTCTCACAAAGACGGTTACACCTGCGACAGTCTGGATGCACTACAAATACCGCATCTCTACAACAAACACATACGTCTGCTGAATGAAGACTGAACAAGTAACATCAAATCTTTTGCTGGTGCTCAATTAAGAATCACTATACGGATTCCTTTCCTTCATCTCTGGAAGTATGATTGGAGTCCCAAATAAATAAGACTGCCTACATGCTAAGCACTCGGTGGGAGTGATATTCACCACTAATAGGAATACTTGTATGAATTATTGAACTTTGACTTACTTGCAATAAGACTTCGGAAGTCTAGGTAGTGACAAATCTTACCTAAAGAAAATCCCCGCCCCCTTCCCCAAACTTCTAAAAAAAAAGAAGCTCCTCCTTACAAACCATTCTTAGCTTCACCGTCTGACAATCGTGTGACTTCGCCCTTTGCCTCGTACCATTACACAGTCAATCGACAGACTAACCGCATACTGCCTTTTTTGATGGCCTATCCTTGAAGCCTAGGATCTTTACTTCTGGTAATTGTAACGGGACGAAATTTTAGTTTGGATGTCGGTTCTCCTTCAGTTGACTACACCCTGCAACTAGTCACTACATAAGCTGCACCTTAAAGCAACGACACTCCGGCCACATTGGTGTGCAGAACCGGTGTTGCTATTTATCGCCAGGTTTCGCCAACGTGCCTAATGGAAGATGCGCTTTTTGTCGCCTTACTTACTAAATCAGTTCACAATAAAGGCAAAACAGTGCGGCAACGACCCGAAAACACCGTGTGCTCCTCTGAGCACCAAAATGGCGGCACGTAAACAAACGTCAAACGACGTAAGTGGACGAATGACAGTCGCGATGGCGCGGCTTTCCAACGACTCTACCTGCAGCCCAATTCCTCTCCTTCGATTCCGTTGCGAGATTTTTCCAAGCAAGAGGCCGTACGGGGAACGACGTCTCCCTGTGGTCGTGCGGCACGGCACCACGCGACCCCCGTCGTCCTTCGGATGGCGCTCCTAGCTGTGCGGAGTGTGGCACTCATGGGGAAGTGCTCCCCTGCGTGGGTAGAAGGTGTGCCTGAGCGAGTAGTTGAGGAGGTTGGTCACGTGAGACATGTAGATGTCGGAGTAGCGGAACAGGCGCCGCGAAAAGTAGGTCGGGTTGTGGTGGGTGCGAAAGATGCTGCCGAAGTTGGCGTTGAACAGGGACTTGGTGGTCTTCCTGCAGAGGAGAGCGAGAAGACCTCTTCAAAATGTCTCGCTGATAATGCTACTAGCATCCAGAAGCTTGGACAAAGATTATGCAGAGCTGCTATTTGACAATATGCCAGACTGCTAATTAAAAGCACTGTTGTTTACTGCTTGGAAGATGTGAGAAGTACTTTGTTTTGTATTATATAATTTCTTGCTTTCAATCTTGCAATTATTATGTGCCCTGAAATACAGCGGAAGCGCCCACTATTAACGTTTCCCAAACTTTGAGTTCTGCGAATTGTATGTTAAGTGCCCGATTTGACCGGACAGCGCCCGTGTCTAGATTAATCCAGTTTTCAGTGAAAGTGGGGTGTGCGCTCTCTCGGGATTTTACGGTAGTTCTTTTTGCTCAATCTAAACAACTGTCAATGTTGTTTATTGCTTTTTTTTCTTTTCACTGAGGGAAGTTTTGCGTTACATATAATTACTCTTGCGCAGTATTTTTATTTATTTATTTTTGTCTGTTCACCACTGCTGTGTACCTGTAAGAGGGAGGCTGTTGACCAGACAACCTGCTTGGACAGCTTTCTTCCCCAGCCCACCCCCACCATGCTTGTACATGGTGAATAAATATTATTATTATTACTAAGTAAACAATGATATAAAAAAAAAAAGCTAGATTGAAAATGAGGTATATGGTTTAGGTAAACACCAAACAAATATCCAGTCAACAGGAGATTAAAAAAATATTTGAAAGAAGTGGTGTACATGTACAGCCCCGGACAATGTGAGCTGAAGCACTCGATCTGGACTCTTGCTACGCCTACACTTTTCACAGGCTCAATTAGTACCTCTCAAAGTTTCTTTAAAAACTGATGTAAGCAAAATATGACAGAAGCTTACCATGATGATTTTAAACAGAGACTGGGGCAGAAGGAGGAAACTTTTTTACAGTTAAAGAGAAAGTAACAGGGAAAAACAGCATCTCTCTCTCTGTTACTTTCTCTTCAACTGTAAAAAAATTTCCTCCTCCTGCCCCAGTCGCGGGTTAAAATAATCAAGGTAAACTTCCACCAGCTTGCCTGCACACTGACTGTAATTTTGTTACTGAATAGAGGACTGCTTCAGCCCATATCGTCGGCTGTAGTGCTCGAACGTGACTTAGTCACTTAAAGGGAAGATGGGGCACTTCTACATTTGAGAAAAAACGCTTTAATTGCGTTCATTTGACCTTCAGAATAACAGATATCACAATTATATTTCAATGCGACGCGCCGGAGAGCCGTAAGAGCAATTTGAAAATAGGGCTGAAGCCCCGCCTCCCTAGCCTTGGCAAGCCAAAATATCCGTCGATGACGTCACGGACAGCGACTGTCTTTCGCGTTTTTCTCGCGTTTAACAATACTTGCGCGGCAAATGGTTTTGGTATTCGGGTTCACGAGGTAAGAATACACTAGAATTCACTTCTAACTCATTTTTTTCAAGAAGCTCCGTAGCTTCCCTTTAAAGAGGCAGGTGCGAGTCACTTTGACAAACTAGTGCACGGAAGTTATTAACGCTCATAACAATAGAGTGGCTGCTGCTAATGCCAACATAAGAAAAAGATTCCTATTCACGATTATGGTGACAACTTGATGCTGTTGATGAGAATTCCCCTAATGCATTGGTTATAATAATAAAAAAAAAAAATACTTGTTTGTTATTTTTTTAGTAGATTCCTTAAAACAATTTTTACATTGTTTTCAGTTATTCAGAAATATTCCTTACTTCACATGGCCACATAGGTGCTTACCTAAGCTGATCCCGTTCTTGCAGCAGTTGTTCAATGAAATCTTCAATGTCATCGTGATCCTTAAAAAAAATAACAGCATAGCCATTATTATATACTATAGTGCTACTGGCTGCAAGCATTGACCACTCGCCATAGTATCCAGAATATTAGTCCGGAGATCATACACATTTAAAAGTTAAAATTTTACACTGTGTGGACTACCTACAGGTGCAAACTATACAAGGATTTTGTTTTCAAGACTTTTCATTATGACGATCTTGATTACTTTTTGGGATAACAGATTATGTTTGTGACGATTTCTGTATGACATAAGCTTATGCTAATAGAGCAGACATTTTTAAAGGTACACCATGTGTAAGTAGTTTTTTACATGTAAACTATATGCACCAAGTGCAGACAATGCATCGGGTGATTGAAAAGAATTGAATTGAAAATGTGCAAGCTCACCTGCATCTCCTCAATGAGGTGCTGCAGAGACTGAAGCCAACTGACAGTGTGGCGAAACTCCTCTGAGTTGAGTATCTTGATTTCATGCTGGAACATTTTGAAAACAATGCACATTAAAGAAGACAACATTTCCACAGACTAGCTATTCGAAGAGTTTCAGTCAGGTTGAAGTCAAATTCACCATACTAAGCGCTGGGAAGTGAAAGACCAAATACGCTGAAATTTCTACTTACCGGAAAGTACCGAGCAGAAACCACACAAAACCGCAAGATGAGAGCGAAAAATTAAAGAGTGGTGCTTAATCAAGCCAAATCTGGGTACGCACTATGTGCTCTGGACAATTATAGAAACAATGCGTGGAAAAGAAAGGCCACACACTCACTCGGTTCAGTGAAATTTTTTTTCAGCCTGCAAAATTTCCACAAAACAAATCTCTGCCCAGGAAGAGTTTCACAATCCATTACAGGGATTTCTCTCATGGAGCCTCATAAAATTTCAGTCTGCAGCAGATAGTAGTCAGCCTTTGTCTATAAGTGTCCAAGTTTCAATGTGAATGCTGCTAATCAGGACTTAAGATTGGTTATATTATTGGTGATACACTATGAGTGCCACTCACAAAGCAACCGGTGGAGGAATGTCAATATGATGAACAATATGACACTAAGAGACATCGCTCCTTCAGAGTTCCTAATGTTATTAACAAGGGACATCTGACTTCTGTGACAGTCACACAAAGTATATTAGGGTTCTTGTAGGCATTGCCGGCCTTGTTACCTTCTTGTATCTCCAATATAATCAAAGTCCATAAAATGTTACAATCAATTTCACATTTCCCCTCACCTTGCAAGGTTAAAATGCAGAAAAAAATACCAGTGATTCTCCAGCAAATTCCAATCTGCTAAAATAGTAACCTATAGTAGATCGGCAATCAGCACAGAACGAGAGATCGTTACAAAGAGTGTAGAAATACGCGAGCAAAGCTTCAAAGAACGACGCGTCGTCCATTGATGCCACTTCCTCGGAAACATTTCTTTCTGCCGAACAGGGTGGTCTCGGTACCAACTAAACAGTAAAGCGGACGCACCGCCAGTTCCCAAATGATAGCTCCCGTCCTCCATCCGTAGTTGAGGGTCAGGTCGGCAAGGTCGCTGTAGATTTGGTCCCCAAAGTATAGGACGTGGTTCCCACACCAGCCTGTCATGGCTTGCAGCTGAGTGACAGTCCCCTGTCGAGAACACAAACCAACAATGCTACTAAAACAGAGGTTTCTGATTTGAGCACTTTAATAAACACTAAAATAAAGAAAATAAAAATGTAAGAAATTTAAATAGAACTCAATTTTTTTTTCTTCACAAAAAAAATAAATAAAATTAGGTATATTCAGGTTGTTAGATGTAATTTCGGTGGGGGTAGCCCTGCTCTAGATGCCACCCATAACGAAAGGTGCCTAGCTAGCTAAGCACCGTCTCTCAGCTCTTATTGGTTGGAGAGATGATTGATGTGCGATATGTCAGTTGTGAAATTGTTTCTTTGTGCCATAATACTGTTTTATTGACACTATATTTACGTTTGAGAGACAAATAATCTAGATAGAGCCATCACAGTACTTACTTAGTACCAACGTTACTAAAACACTCAGTTGGGAAACTCGCCGTCGAAACCTGGGCCGCTGGCGTCCACCGAGACCGAGCTAAATACGACAACAGCACCACTCTTTATCATTTGTCTGTACTGTGGTCACATTGAGCTTTTAGAAAGCATGTTTTTGTGTAAAAACAAACGGAAAACTCTTTTTGTATGAATATTTTTGGAGTTTCGTACAAAATGAAGGGCGCGTGATGTTTTTATAATTTTTAGTTTGCAAGGTTTTGTGGAACAATTAATATTGTTTTTATACAACCAGGCCTCAGCAGTGCTTTCAGGTAGCGCGTCCCGACCTAGGTGCATTTTAACTTCGGTAGTAATGCGTGGCGCGTCCGCTGGGGAGACAAGGGTGGCACCCCTGTAACCTCTTCCCTTGTATCTGTTTCGGCGCCAAAATGGCCGATTAAAGCCAAAATAGAAGTAACGTGCAGTTCCTAGAGTGGCCGCTGCAAGAGAAATGGCGGCGTTGTGTTTGCCATTAGCTCGGTTCTGGAGGACAAATCGGGGCGACTTTTTCAGAGCAGTCTCTATGGCAGTTTCCCAGCTGAGTGGTTCTAGTAACATTGCTTAGTACTTACGATAACAAACATGGCTGTCTGCATTTGTGGCGTGCTTGTCGAGCTCCTTTATTTTTATGTGTGAGTTGTTTTGCATTCACCGAGGCGTTTAGAGGAAGGTCTCCTCAACCAATCTAGTTTGCAGCAAACAACTGTCGCAAGTATGTGCCTTCGGAAGTGCTGTGCGGGTACTTGTTTTTGTATCGGAACTAGCCTAAGCCTAGCGTTCCACATCAACTATTTTGCTTGATCTTGCTTGATTGGTTTGTTTGCGCGTGTTGATGCTGAAGAAAGGTCTTGGTTCTCGTAAAAATGGCACCGCTGCTCTGTGAATTGTGCAACCGTCGTGATTGCGACCATGGTTTCAATACCAAAAAGACACTTACACAGTAAGAATTTGTGAGCCATTTGGCTGGAGGCAATCGGGCATTCACCTCGCATCAGGTTTGTCCAGGTATGTTACCGTCATTTCTCTTCGGAAGGAAAGTAGCTTCAAGTTTTTCAATGCACTTGGCCTGCCAAAGCTCTTGCCGTGAAGAGCAAGCGATCAGATCGTGTTCGGAACTAGCCTCGAACCAGGAGTAGTTAGTTCCGCACAACCACGGAGGGCGCTGAGGTATCAGGTCCCTCCTCGGCGGCTACGGTGTCGGAGGCGTGGCGTGCTCGCCTTTTTTGTAGTGTGGTGGTGTGGTGGTGGTGTGTGGCCAGTGGCTGGCCTTGTGCTTTGCCTTGGTGCTGTGTCGATCACAGGTGCCACCATCGTGCAAGAAGGTGCGCCTTAACCCGAATAATAATATTATAATAATAATAATAAAAGAAGAAGGAAGAGAACACAAATTTACGAACTCTGGCGACTTGGTGGCGGCAGTAAGGTACAACAAAAAGCAGAAAGTGAGGGAATGCGGGACCACTGCCATGAGAAACTACCGGAGCGGTCGGTTTGGGAGGGATCCTATACTTGGGTGCCATCTATACCCGTGCGAGTGAAGCGCGCTCGGTGTGGCCGAACATAATGTGGTCGCCGTGTTGGACAGAGAGTCATCACCTAGATGTTTCTTCCACCGTGCTCCCGACAAATAAATATTCCCATTCTGGACAAGTGTCGGAGCTCCTCCGACAGACCCATTTCTCGTTTGCAATCATGCATCAGGCGCCTCCCGACAATTTCAACTTGCGTCATCTTTTATCGGGTATGTAAACTATGTGTATTTAGTTTCTTGTGCCTCCAACAGGTATTATAAGAGGCACAACATATTTATTTTTGCTAGATGTGCAGACGGGCATTTTTTGCACGTTTTTAGGTGTTCAAGATGGCAGGCTTTACTCCATCCGTGTTTTATGGACTGTGCAGTCTGCAAAGACAGGAAAGTGAAAAGGCAAGGACCTGGGAATTTTTTTCTTCTCTGAAACCTGCACTTGACACCCTGGCTGGCACCCCGGCATTCATTTTGAAAAGTATCCTACGCTGCACAAATACTGCTAGTACAGTTCGATAATTCAAATGAAAACATTCGGGACAATGCAGTAATTTCAAACTGAACATAATGAACATAGTATATTGAAGAGTTGAATCTGAAGTCAGTCATTGATGTGATCTTTTTTCGTTTAAATTATTTCTGACTAGAGGAGCCTACAAGTGGAAAACTCACATGACCCCAAAAGGTTAATTGTGCATCATGACGCTCTCCTACCTTGCTCGCAAATGCCATGGAAAAAAAAGAAGAAAAAAGAGGCAAGAACAGAAAAGCTGAAAGGACTGCATATTTATTTTGTTGATATTTTTTTAGTCCTCTGGGTTGCATTTACCGCACATTAACAGACACTTGTATTGGACTGTAAATTGTGTATGATGGAACGCTAGAACACAGCTTTCATGGTCGCATCTTGCAAGCATTGGAGCGTTTTTAGACGGGGGCGGAATAGAAGATGGATGCAGGCGATAACGGACGCCGGTGCATCGCTTTCATGGCCGCGTCTTATGGGCACGGCAGACGACGATAGACGGTGGTGGAATAGCAGATGATGCCGGAGGCTGCCGCACGCCTGCTCGCACGACTAGCAGACGGTGTCAGATGCCAAACTAGATGCACCGATTGTTGCGACAGGTAGCCAATCCAGCCAAGCCAATCCAGTAGCAATGAGCAGGGCCACTGATCTGTGGGTGGGGCTTAGAGTGGGCCATGACATCCGCCCTAAATTATGTCTAACAACCTAAATATTGCACAAAAAAATTTTTTTCATGGAAAAATTACGAAGTACTATACATGTCCCATCCAAACCTTAAAAAAAAAGTATATATATATTTCTTTTTTTCTTTTTCATTTCAGTGTTTCTTTAACTGACTCCTTCCAATGTTGTGAATGTTGACTCACACATTTGTGTCTGAGCATGATCGAGTGCGTCATACTCGCTAGTAACTGCTTACAACCAGTAGTGGTAGTAGCAGAAACACATCTAATATCATTTTCTGTATATTTCTTAAACCTTTTGCGCCTTTCTTCCACCATGGGACTGAAATGATTCCGCAGACGTCATGAACAACCGTTTATCAAAGACCGTGCGTCGATTTTGTGTGCCAAACACCTTGAAACTTTCAGTCTGGTCATATGCAGATCAGAATTGTTCCAGGGCCACCTAATAGGTGCGGCCAGCCAGTTAGAAGTGAGCACGACACACTCGGATGCAAATGCACGAGTCACCCTTGGGAAGACGCAGGCTGAGAACCCTTGTGACAGTTGAACTGATGTGAACGTGTTGGGAAAACGCACTCCGATAAAGAGAGTTTCTCACGATTGACCACGTGGCTGAAAGCTGCCACAAACCGAAATTTCACTGCACACCTATGGATAAGTACCAATGAATCTGGCATTACGTAGGAACTTTATAGGTTAGTTTATTTAGCTCCCGTGACATGCGACATTGCTCGCACCTTAAGACACACGAGGCTTTGAGTTATGGGAAGTGGTACAAGAATGATGTTCTATTGCCGGGGAGGTGACATTTTCGTCAAGTTGTGTGCTTCGAAGTGCATGAACGTAGAAATAGCGAGAAATAATGGAGGTCTGAAGTCTTGTGCCTGAGACTGTGGCACAAAACATGCATCTGAAGTGGCACTCTCATTTAATTTCAAGATTTTCCATTACGTGGTACAAGTGTAATGCCGACTGTTCTCTTCAATGCACTCAAACTTACCGGTCAGAATCCTCCCTTGCAGACGACGGAACATCAAATAATTATCACAAAAACATGCCTGGAACCCAGTCGTACACAGGCACAAACTTGCAGTACAGACGGTGCATCACGTGGCAACACAGTTAGCCAAACAAAATGAAAAAGATACGCAAGGGGGACGGGTGAATGAAAAAAACGTCTAAGGAAAATGCTGGTAAGGCCCTCCCTGTACCCCTAGAAATAGAACTGGTGCAAGCGGACATTTAAGAAACATGGTGACATATGGGAAGATTCAGTATAGGTTTTACAAAAGCATGCAGTGTTAACCGTGAAACATGGGCTGAGCACTCAACACTCAGAAAATATGCATGCCAAAAACAAAAGCAGTTACCTCGATGTAGACCTTGTTTTTCTCGAGCTTGGTGACACGCTCCCAGAGCTGACTTTTTGTCTCGGGGTCGTAGATGCGAAACGGCCTTCAGAAATGCAAGGGACGAAAGGAAAACGTCAGTTTTTATCAAAACAAGAGCAACTTGTCTTTCGCCAACTTGCATCTACAAGCAAGAGGGAACGCACCTGTGCTGGTCAGTGAAAAACTTTGGCTTCCTGGCTTGAACAATGACAACGTCAAAAAGATCCTGCCAATCGGCGCCGATCATGTACCGCATGCCCACGTCGCTGAAAAACGAAAAGATTTGACACACTGTCCCAAATAAGTGTCCCCTAAAACAAACCACTTAACCTCACTGGCCAGATGTAAAACACCTAGGTAAGAACATCATATATTAAAAAAAATAGCTGTTGTGAAATCCCATAAGGGCACTAACCCAAAATGAAGAGATAAATGGTGAAATACATGAGGTGGGCTATCCTTGGGGGATGAGGCAGCAAAACTTTATAAAAAATTAATGACAAACACAGGGGCAGTTGGTGCCCCTGTGTTTGTCATTAATTTTTTTGTTTTTTGTTTGTCACACAGGGGCACCCACTAAAAACTACGGAACATGGGAACCAATAACCCCAGATCACCGGCACGGCAAATTCGCGTTTCACAACACGATTAAACACGCGGGAATTCACTACAAACGCCCGTGTCACAGGAAAGGATACAGCAGACTACGGATGCAGCAGATTTGGGTTTCATGGTGCGATAAACACGCGGAAACCGGCTACAAACTTGTGTGCCATCGGAATCAATATCACGTGCGCAAGTCGCGGACAAACAAACGCGGGACCCCACTGCGAACGCGCTTGTCACTCATATCGATACTGCAGGTCGCGCAGGTGAAGCGAATCCAGTCGGACATTGTGTGATGTCCGACGGAAATGGGGGGGGGTGGACAATGTTTCGTCATTTTTATGTTAGGGATGTTAAGCCAGAAAACATGAGGTGGTTGATCTCTTGGGAGAGGCCACCCTTACAAAATTTTACAATAGCACCATTTTATAAGAAGTTACTTTTCAAATAGTCTACTTTTCTACTTAGCACAGAAGCCCAAACAATGCAGTTTACGGAAGAGTTATTGAATGACAAGGCCGAGAAAAAGCTTGCATGCAAAAGAAGAAAGGCAGCCTGGCTGGTACACTGAGTATGAAGTTCATGTGCTCTGAAGCAATGAAATAGTAGTAGGCTTGGGAGAAGACAAACATCTGAAGAACATGTTCAAGTTGGCACTCTCCATAGGAGTGTTCCTTTCCTCGGTAACTGGGTTTTTTTTCCATTGGGATGGAAGCTGGCGGTGGAGAGAGCGTTGATCTTGCACGCGTCTCTCGGTCCGTTGCAAAATTCGAAATTTTGAAAATTGCTGCTGCGCATAGTACAGGCCGGAGAAGAAAGAGGTACTAACACGAATTTGAAAGGGCTGTTGGTGACCAAGAACATCTGTTTTTTGGCATTTTTTAGCCTCTCCAGGAATGTCATCAGCTCTGCAGGCTTCTCGAGGTACTCGCCTGAAATTGATACAAACACAGTAAATTACTATCATAAAAGCACTTTTCTGAGCTACCCAATCTAAGCACATTTCCAGAACATCCAGGCTTTAGCCTTTCCAGCATGTTAGCTTTTATTTCTAAATTCAAGATAGCCATTGAGGAAACAGCGAATGAAGGTTATGGCAAAAACCAACATTAAAATCTTCTCGCGCTCCCCAGTGGGGTGACGTCACGTGTTGCAGAACCTGCAAGTCGAGCAGGCGGTCTATAAAACAGAAAGAGTATTTTGTGAGTTTTTCTTGTTTAGCTTTGCTGTCATGAGCTTCTTCAGCACTCATTTCACACCACATAACTTCTTGTAAGCCCTCAGAAACAAGCTGTACCGCTCCCCTATTACATTTGACTTCACATTTTCGGTGTTATCAGTAGAGCCTCTCAACCTCTCGGACCAAATATAAAAATTAATTAACTTTGCGGAAAAAAATATTTTGTGAATTGCAATTTGGGTTACTAGTTCAGATGTGCCTATTAACGTGCTGAACCAATTTTGAGACAAATCAGTTACTATCAATATTTCGCCTTTAATAAAGGGACGCTAATCGTCTTCACGTGCCACGGCGATGGATGACAATCCTGAAGAATATTCATAGGTCACGTGTGTACCCAGTGTGCGTCAGAGTAAGGACAGGACACCTCCCTCGTTACTTTGCAGGAGGTTAGACCCTGCCCTAAATAAACAGTGTCTTTTGTGGCCACGCTTGTTTATTATTTGTGATTTTGACCTTGATTCATTATTTACGGACAACTCACATTATGGACAACTTTTCTGGGAATCCAGTCGTCTCTCCTATTAGCGAGACATGATTGGATTACAAAAAAAATATTCAATTCAATTTTTGCAGTATATTTTTAATACTCATATTCGAATTACAGTTAAAATTTTGATATTCACATGTCTCTACCATCGGTTAAAATCAAATATCTCTAAAGTGCTTCTTCTTTTAGCTTTAAGAGAGTAGGTAACCGAAACGAAACACAGAAATTGCCTCCCATTTAATTCACTTTAAGCTACACCAATCTAAGTTCTGCAACAATGACAGCCATTGGTGTGGCCAAGGGATAATATCAGACCCTGATAAAGTTAAAATAACAAGCCATGCATATACTCACTGATGTTTGATTCAGTCAGAGTGCTGTGAATCACTGGGTGAATGCTTGAGATGGCATTCTGCAGGAAAAAAAAAAATTTTAAAAATTGCGGAAAAGAAAAAAGATGCGATCGAGGCTCAGAGTTTGTCCGCAGCATGGAGCGTGCAATCTCAAAAAAACAAGGCCACTTGTAAGTAACAGGCTACAAAAGAGATTGTCGCAAAAAGTTACAGTACAACCCAAGGAAAGAAAAAAAAAGACGGAAATGTCAGATAGTTCGATAATTGGTTTAACTTGCATGTAAATTGATAATTGAGGTTTAATTGCTGGTATGTACAAGCCTACGAGAGGATGACTGATACAGGTAGCAGTGTACTATTTGATTACCGTAGTCGGTTAAAGCTTTATATGATGCAGAACTGTTCAACCTCTTATTCACTGATGGTGCAATATTTAAAGGTTAAGATACATCAGCTTCTCATTAGTAAGAGTTCTGCATGTTATAAACAAAGTTCAAAGCTCAAAACTAGGCATGCGCAAACAGTGGATTTTAAGTTCGAAGCAAACAACGGTTTTGGTGAATATTCTCGAATCCAATATCGAATAGCTTCTCCAAGCCTTTCATACCATACTCCATGCTTAAACGAAAATTAAGCCAAACTCGTGAATGCTGCCTCCAAACCTTCCACTTGTCTACTTCTAAGCTCAGTTAATTTTAATATACTATATTTATGAACCGCGGCATGCAAGCAACAAATCTGGCGCAGCTATACTAGTCAAGAAATAATGTGCACAATTTATATGTGGCTCCCACGTGATGTTTATTCTGGGTCGTTCCTCCCTGTTCTTTCCGAGAGAAACGAATTTGGTGGTGCGCAGTGGTAGGCAGCAGTAGGTATGCGCTTAGCAGCAAGGCGACCACAATGACCGCTGATGTGACTTGAATGCAAGCTATGTATAAGCAATAATTTATCTCCATCTCTAGAACCCTTCCTTCCCGGTGTTATATTTTTAAAAAATTGGGTGGTTAAAAATCGGGCAGTATGTTTCAAGCTCGTAACCAGGAAGACATCAGGTTTGTCTAAAAATTATTACGGAATTTGTTTCTTCTTTTTGTTGTTGTATTACAAATTATTAAATATAATTCACAATAAAACTCACAATTCACAACAAAGCACACTGACCGGGTTTTATATTTTATACACAAACAAGTCAACTACGTATTGAAGACAGGATTAAAACATGGTACAAGAGCTTACCTGGTCGTTTTGGTTTTTCACGACTTCTTGCTGACATACTTTGCAATTTTTCTAATTTTTCTTTTTTCAGAAGGTGTCACTGGAGTAGCTACTGATTTGCTGATTTCCTGCACGCTTTGAACCAGTTCTGTGACCAAGCTCCCCTTTTCTATGGCAACATGCATAAAAATGGTGGTATTCACTTTCCAAATTCAGGGAGAAATGGGGCTGAGCCCGATTTTCAAGCCACGTGTTCGGGTGTGTGTAAATATTAAGGAAATATCTGGTTTCACCCGGAAATCAAGGACCCTACTTGTATCACCTGCAAGCACTCAAAGCAGCGACTTGGAGCACCCGGCAGAAACAGAAACCTATAATTTCGAACCCTTTGAGATTGCACTGAGTCTATGGGAGGATTTGCCGCTCAAAGCCACTGCATGCTTCCAAGCACTCCCTGGATGCAGCACTGACCTGAATGTCGAAGAACAATATCTCCGGGTTGTAGGCGATGTTGTGTCGCTCAAAGTACTCCGTCACGTTGGACAGCAGGCAGATCTCGGGAACAGAGAACAGGTCGTTCAACTGCTTCATCCTGGCACCCTGCATGCACATAATCAAGACCAAAACATATTTACCGAAACCCCACATTTCGAAAAAAAGACGTCGAGCCAGCTCCAAGTAAGGTGTCCATCACAGAGAGCACGGGAAAATATCTTTTGATTCTGTCAGTACCTCGAATGCCTGTAACTAGTATTACAAGCGCTGCATACCACAATTTTGCTTTACTATAAAAGTTTTCTAATGCTGGTATGGGTGAATAAAATGCTAAAGTAGCGAAAATTAAAAAGAAGGAAACGAAGACTGAATTTGCAATTAAGAAATTATACTGTTATGCATGGATACAGTAAATAGAAGTTGTGGTAAGCTTGTAAGCATATAAATTACTGATTATAATAGCAGTGTTTCTTGTACAGTAAATATAGACAGGTACCAACCGGAAATGGCACCAGCCAGACATGGCATCAACCGGAAGTTGTACCAACTAGAAATGAAGACCCCAGCCGGTCTTGCCACTTTTCAGTGGCAAATCTGACTGTGGATATGGTACCAGATTGTTTTATTCTCTGCCAGAAAAGTAGCAGCATCTTTCTTGGAAGTGTAATATTCAGTTTCTGAATTAATAATTCAAGGTTATAAAATGGCTATAAGGGCGTTGTTGCAGCTCACGAGCAAATGATGAGCCAATCCAATGGTAAACTATGCAGCAAGAACTGAAATTCTGAACTGAAATACCATCGAGCACTTTTCCTTTATGCAACCAAACGACAGTGAGTCTTGGTCTCAAATCCATTTGGATCCACCTAAAAATCTGCCTCCTCCGCCAGTTCTTCATGTTCCAGGGTAAAGTGAGGCACAAATTATCAGTTCCCGGTGGTGCTGCTTGACTAACAACCCCCTCACAATTATAACTACCGTAAAATTCCAAGAGATGTCCCACCCTTGAAAGGTAACCTACACCCCTGTTTAGTTTGATTTGCTATTTTCTTTTAAACACCGAAAGATAACCCACTCCTAGTAATCATAGTGGTCAGATCAATGATGATCTCTGCGTAAATGTGTCAAGTTAGCTATGGCGGGATAAAGTGAACACTGCTGACCGGGAAGTACCGTCATCTTTGCTTCAATGCCTCTCACCACGATAATGAGTTCGGCAGGGACGCATGATCTAAAAGTAGCATTTTTTCAACTCTTCTTGATTCCACACCGAAGGTCAGCCCACTCCTCATTTTTAGCAAATCTTCTCTCGCTTATAGGTGGGCTATCTCTCGGGATATTACGGTAAGAAGGTTGGCAGTGGGGCACACTAAGGAATGTAGTATTACTACACCGTCAACATTTCTTGTACTGCCTTTAAAGCAATGCCGAGTGCGCGAGAAGCTTTTGGGGCCTTTTAGGAGGTGCGGCCATCACCCGGTGTGAAATAGTCAAATATTGGTTAAAAGTAGTGCGAGAAAATTGTATTCAAGGGTTCTAGCAGAACATGACTGGCATCATCAGTAGATGAGAAGACTAAAGAATGAATTATAAGAAGCGTGATCGTAATGGCAGTGATGTGATTAGCCTAAGCCATTTTGGAGCACCTTTCGGAGCAGCCAAAACAGTGTTTTGGAGCAGCAAATGTGGCCTTTGGAGCAACCAAAACAGTGTTTTGGAGCAGCAAAAGTGGCTTTTGGAGCAGCCAAGGCAGTATTTTGGAGCATAAAAAGTAGATTTTAAAGCAAATATTCTTAGACAAAAAAGAAATAGTTTTAAGTGTTGTACAAACGAAGGGCACTTTGTGTTGTGTTCTGATGTGACGTGTTGCGACGGAACTCGCTGCTTGTGTGTTTACTGCTGAGACATCCCACAAGTGTACAGTGCTGTAGGCATTGCCGAGCAACTCCGAAAAACGTAAAACAATGGATTGCAAGTGTCCCGGCTGATGCCTTTGTCGTGCGATCATGTTCGCATGCACGTGAGGGCAACTACAGCAGGCGTGCAGTTGCGCGTGCTTCGTCGCGCCAGCGAAGACAACGGCTGTTCGCTCAAAACCGGAACCATGCCACTCCGCTCCGTCGCCGACTGATTCCCAAAATTGTATGAAAAATGTAACTGTCGAGCCTACGACAAAAGAAAGTCCAGCGGCGCATGCTTGCCAGGCCGGCAAACAAGGTACAAGCTAAACACACAGTAAAAAAAACTACCGCATCTCCATGTGGTGAATGATGTTGATTGGGGCGAAGCTCTGGTGGTGCTTGTCTGCGTAGACGCTGAGCCGCAGCATGCCGAGCCTTTCGTTCGTTTTCATCCATGTCACGCTGCGGTCAAATGCTCAAATGCGTATATAACCACGTTCCATACCACACATTCTCTTTCTGACATGGATGAAAACGAACGAAAGGCTCGGGATGCTGCGGCTCAGCGTCTACGCAGACAAGCACCACCAGAGCTTCGCCCCAATCAACATCATTCACCACGTAGAGATGCGGTTTTTTTTTTCCCTACACGGAGCACGTGAGCGCGTGAGCTCAGGAGCAGGAGCACGTGCACCCGACGGCGGACGGACATACGGACATGGCTAGCCCCTAAGGAGCTTCGCCCCTAAAAAAAGAAAGAACCTAGGTGTATCGATGCAAGACATCGCGAGCCAGGGTCAAAACATTCTCGAAGCGCTTTGTGCAACGAATGAATTCGAGACAAACAAGCGTGCTGTGCGGGTTTAGCAAGCAGACATTGCCTTCTTTGCTTTAGAATGCTTCTCTTCACCAACTTTCTTTCGCGGCAGATTTTTCACGTACCGGGGTCCCTCTCGAAAGAAAGCCCACGGAGAAAAACCTAGGTAATCAATCCTTCGACACAGCAGTCTTTGAGTTAGAGGAATTTTTTTAGTAGCGTATGATTTAAACAAGAACAGGAATGTTGATGAACATGCGGCGGTATTTAGTTGTAGTGACGTGGGGACGGCAACACCCGACCTCGTGCTACCACGATGGCTGGAATGCAGGGACCAAATATAGTTTTCCCGCGATCGTTGCTTTCAGGGGCGAGTGCTTCAGCTCACAAAGTAACTCCCGCCATGCAAAAACGTGGTTTCGTTTCACAACCTGACGGCATGGCTGGTACCTGGCACACTAGCGTATGAGCGTCCGCACACACCCGCGTCTATCGTTAAAAATATTTTTAAAAAAAGATGCGAGACGAGACCCACAACACGACAAGGTCGCGAGACGGCGGGAAAACCATGCAAGACCGGATGGGCCATTGATGCAGGGCACTTTGTGTCGGGCAGCCACTTGCGCCACATAACCCACGCATGCTCAATTACGGTCTCAGTTTAGTTTCTGTTTTGAAAGGCGACCGAAATTGGTTTTTTGGTGCAGGTTTGGTGCAAATTACCCATATTTCGGCAAAATGTAGCAGGATGTAGAAGGGGTTAGCCCCCTGGCGCAGTTTGGCGCAATTGGCGCAGCAATCACATCACTGTAATGAACCGTGCCCGGCCTTTCCTTAGCCGTCTGTGACTATGGCGCATTGTGTCTAGATGCAGCTTTATGGAGGGACCAAAACTTGCCGATTCGGAGCTTCCACGGATCATGTACTGGGGGATGTAGGAGCCGCCATAGATTTTGATTGTTTCCTCGCTGGTGAGTGGTGTCAGACCCCTGTTGAATGTCACAATAGCATTTGTGAGAAGAAATATGAACCGCTCCCAGAGAAGAATATATCCGGGCTCAAAACGAAACAATGACAGAACCGTAAGCAACGACATTGGATTCGAATGTCGTGCACTCTACACAAAGAATAGTGACAAAAGTGTGGCACAGGTATACTCGCAAGCAGCGCACAGAGGAAACAAGCAAATATTTCCTTCAGCCTCTCCTTCATGGCTGTGGGGATCACTCCAGGGTGACAATAATCGAATGTGGCTCATGAATTGGACACTGACATTGCGTGGGCACTCAGCTTGGGCTCCGTTACAATTAATGCCTTTACAGACACTGGGGATGAGGCTTGTGGTCTAATCGCTGCAGAGACGGGAATAGCCGAACTCTAACCACATCCAGAGCACAGCATGTGACCTGTACATTGCCAATCCTGGCATGTGGAGCGACAAGCAACACTGCCGTTTGATAGGTTTACCGTTTGTTGTGGCAGCAAGTTGAGGAAGTGAATGCTGCAAATTTTTTTTCAATATTTTTTTACGCAACTATTTTTGTGTAGGGAAATAAAAAAAATCATGCACATCTGCAGGTTATGAACATCAATGATTTGTTGTTGTTTTCTCACTTTCAATGAAAGCGAGAAAATCGTTTTATGGCCAATTTAATAATTTAGAAGAGTGTGAGGAGTATTACAACAAATCCAGGAGCAGACTTTACGTGCACTGGGATTTGGGAATTGTAGCTGAGATTTGAACTGAGAGTGGTTTTGAATGTGCCTGTAAGCACTCTGATGCGATTGACCTAGCCATTTTCCCCATAAAAAACCCATAAAAATATCCATTTATCATTTAAAGGAGAAAAGTGGAAGAAGCTGGGGGGAGAAGACTGGTGTCAGAATTGATTGACCCATCTTTTGTAAAACGTGAAGCTGGTCAAGGATGGGTCCATCATCGATGGCACATTCAGCACTGTCACAAATAGCTTATGGTTGGTCAGCATAGATTAATTGCTTTGTTTTTCCTTACTCATCAGCCCCCTTCATAGAGAAAACAGGCTTTCATTCGAGTATAGAGATGGGGAAGGAACCTTTTATTCCGGTTTTTATATTGAGGCAGAGTGCACGTGAAAAGAATTTGTCTATTGTTAGATGCCATGAATCACGTAAACCAACCAATCCTTAAAACAATGAAGCTCTTAAAAGCACCTTTAGTATAAAAAAAGAACAATGAAAAAAAGTGGCATCATGCTGTTACCTGTAAACACTGCAGAATTGAATTTGGTGAAACAGGTCCATCTTCATCAGAACACCCTTCATGAAGAAAAGCAAAGGTCTTGTGTGAGATGTGCCAGAAAGAAAAAAAAGTGTATGGAGAGCGTAAACAAAGAGTACATACCTTCTTCATGTCGTACTGCAACCCTCGAATTGCAAACCCTGGCCTGTACTCCAACTGAGCGATTTCCTTGGGATACTAGAAACAAAGCAATACCATTTAGACAGCCATTGTATCATTGAACGACAATGCCAGAAGTTGGTGGCACCAAGACGTTTAGTTATAGGTGTTCCAACTGGTCTGCTAGCATTTACGAAGGTATGGTATTTGGCCTGGAAGTATATACCCTAGCAACAACTTTCTCGGATAAGCAGGAGAAGACTATACTCTGTTTTACTTTATGATGAACCACAAGCCCTCCCAGCTTATCCAGCACCGTGAACGTATCATGTAACTATGCGCTCCGTGCGTCACTGCGCCCCTACCGAAAGTCACGTGGCATTCCCACGGCGTTGAATTGGTTCCGATAACTCCAGCGTCTGGACTGATTCGTCTTATAGTGAAACGGAATATCTGAGAAAGATTTACCTTGAACTTGTTGATGAGCCAGTCCCTTCCAAGGTCATAGATCAGGTAATGAAGGGCCTCGGTGTACACAGCCAGTGTGTAGTCGTAGTCGAAACCATAAACTTCGATCTGGGAAATGTCCAACTCATTGTTTGCAAACACACCGAATGGGTTGACCTCGGGAGTGGGCAGGGCTGTGCACAAAGAAGAAAACCGTAAGCACACAAAAGCATGCTTTTCTCACAAAAGCAATCACTTGAGAGAAAAAATGACCATGAACAGCTTTAGGATGCACAAACAAGATTTTGATTGAAGCTGTAAAATTTCACACGATGCTCAGAGTACACGAAGACAAGGTCTCATATGAAGAATTCTCAATAGATGTTTTGACTATAGGGCTGTGAATTCTGTAGGTGACAACGTAACTTTCGCCTTATTAACTTAGAGCCATTGAGGGTATCATTCTCTATGAGCTGTAAAGGCAAGTTTGTGACTCCAGAGGTATATCTGGAAAGACGTTGCATGCACCCGAATCGGCTCGTCTGGATTCTGGTTTGTTTTGTGGATAAGCTTTTGCACCAAACAGTGGAATACTTTCTCCTACCGAAACCTGATGCAGCACTTGTAATCATCTGTGAAAACCGACATATTTGAGCTCGTAAGCATAGCAATATAATTTTCCCCATAAATTTACTGAGTAAGTCTTCCTGGTCACTGCAACAGCTGAAGTTTCAAAGAAAAGGGGAAATTCTGTGAACTGAAGTACAAACAAATGCACTATGCACACCCAATAAAGAAACTTGTGGAACCACTAGGATGCTTATACATATCGTGATTGATGTCTGACATCCTAACTTCCACTGAAAGGGCTGCATAATCACATACTGTTTGAACAAAGCCTTGAACTTTTACCAGTTATATACGGAAACCTACTTTCATCTTAACCAGCAAATGACTAGACGTGTACAGAAACTAGCATGCTTGGCCCATGCGGCCCACGACAGATGCTGAAAGAAAATGCTTTCATGAGTTGAAAACTCGGCATCCGACGCTGACATTGACTGATAACAGACCGCTGGAATTCGTGTGACCTTATGCAGTGTTGGGTAAAGTATGTATAAAAAGTACTTGAAGTAAAGTACTACAGTGGAATCTCGTTAATTTTAGCCGGAGGGGGACCAGAACTTTGTTTGAATAATGGAAATTTTGAATTACCGGGAGTTTCCCTCTTAGAAACACATGGGACGGAATCTGCATGTTAGGTTGAATTATCCGCGAGTTTGAATTAGCAAGGTTCCACTGTTTAAATACAATGTACTATCAAAGTAAAGAACAAGTAGTTTTTAACACAATCTTCCATGATGCCCTTTCATTCCTCTATAACTGGTATGCACTGACCTGAGGGAAATCAGGGGCTCATCAGTTAGTTTCCGAAATTGCGGCGAATATTGGATAAAGTCAAGTGGACACAGAGTAGTTGTTTTACTGTTACTGATATACTATTTAAAACAATCAACCATTACTTCAAAGAAAAATTACCAGATGACGTCTCAAAAGAGGATAGTGCGTTTTCACCTGACGGTGCATATTTTTTGTTAGAGGAAAGCACCATTTTGTGATAGAAATTTAATAAGTCAAAATTTGGGGAACATACTTTGAAGTCAGGAGATGTCTTTTGGTCGGAAAGTACTAGAAAAATGCTTTAAGTACTAGCACATACTGAGAAAATGTACTTAAAGTAAAGCACAAGTTTTCTTAACCTACTTGTAGTAATTTAAGCACAATGCATTTATGTATTACAGAACGGTGACCTTATGGGTTATAAAAGTTCTGATTGCCTCATTGTACTCTCTCTGTTCTGACTCATTTTCCAACTTCTGGAGGTGGCTGCTTTTTGTATTTTATCATCATGCTTGACGTGTCTCCATGGCATGCACTGAGGATGCCTTCAATAAGTTACCTTTTCAGCAAATCAACATACCTGTCATTCATAATGCACGACACCGATACTTTGTCTAGACACGATTTTGTATTCTTGTTTGTTTTGACTAGCGCGTCTTTATTCTCACTAACTTAATATACCCTTTTGGTTGATACCATAATAAAATACTTTTCCTTTTTATCACACAAAGCGTATGCAGCTTTGTCAAGGGCTGCATGCATACACACTTTTACATCACATTTTTTAAAGTGTAACTCTGCCAAATTCAAAGAAAGGAGATGCTTTCTAAGTCGACACATTGTCGCAGATAAGCAATGCCACTCGAGACATATGGATGTAGCTCGGAGAAACGAGCTAAACACAGCATAGACGCCGAAGCACTCATCAACAAAACTACCATTAGCGTCGTGAAAAAAAACAAAAAAAGAACTGTATTTTTAAGGTTGCGAACAGCGTAACTGCGTCATCGGTTCATGCGACACTGTGTTAAAAAGAGGTCAAACGTTTGATAAGCTATAACAGTAACTACGCAATGCTTTATAATCAGAGTTGGCAACTCCAACAATGTTCAACCGCGAGCTTTAGCAAAACCAGAACCTCCGAAACGGTACAGATGAGAAAGACTGAGGTTAGACGAGCGATTCCGAGTGGCTGAAGTAAGTTGACACAGAAATCGCTACGCACCCTCGCATGCCTGTTTTGCACTGAGGTACTTTTCGAGCAGCGAATTGGGCGAGGGTGCTGTCTCTTCCAAGTGTTCGCTGCCTCCCCTGGACGACCTGTGCACCCTACGAATGGCGCTCGTCGGGTGCTTCGCCTCATGTCGAATTAACAGCGCGGTTTGGTTGAAATTGGGAATACATTTGCACAGCAGACGACGAGCCGCCATGATCACGTTGAAATTTGTGTGATTGTTGAAGTTGACCCGGATTGGATAGCTCCGGATTAAAATGAGATTTGTTGTCTTTAGTTGCCAGATCAAATTTGAGGAAGTGTCTGACCCGTCTGACGTGGGGGGTAGCCTAAAAAAAGAACGGACCAGTTAAATATTTAGTTATAAGACGTATGTAGGTATGAGGTTTCATTTTACACCTACTTTAGATTGAAAAAGGACTAATTATGCGCCTACTCAAATAGCTGCCTAACACCAGGAACTGCTTACCGGGAACAAATTTAGAAAACCTGTCATGAGTAATAATAAAATGTAAGATGAATATAACATACAATGCAGCTGATAAATTACCAGAACATCAAAAGCACTACTTCTTATGACAACATACGTAATAAATAAGATTATTGTATAAATACCACTTTCAAATCGTGTATTTCAAGTCCGGCATGGTCTAGTGGTTAGGATACCTGGCTCTCACCCAGGAGGCCCGGGTTCGATTCCCGGTGTCGGAACAAATTTTTTTTTTTTTTATTCATGTGTTTTTGTTTGTTAAAGTATTATTATATATTTTCGAATGTACAAGTTTAATGCGTCGTCGGTTCACCTTTCTGCGCTTCAAAGGCATTTTGTGATGTGATGTCACAGTGCTGCACTCCGAGCAGCATTCTGACGTGCTGAGGTTGCCATGTTTTGAGATGTACCTGATGGTCGCTCACCGTTCATTGATGTTAACACTTGATGCCCAGTTTTGCACTAATTGCCAGCCTGGGAATGATAATAATATCTCAGAGAGCGATCTTGGACATGACCCACTCAGGGCACCTTCAAAAATTAACCTTTCGTTTGCATTTTCTGGGTCAAGTCCTGTTCTCGAAGTGATTATTCTATCTGCCATCAAAGTAGCCATCGCCAAGGCCCACCAAGCTTTGGAGAACGCAGCATAAAAATATTGCACCTTTTGACCTTCATCTCAAGTAGGAATTAGAATCTTGCGAGTGGAGAATTTTGTAGATCATCGCACGGTCACGGCGCCAGTGGCCTTGACTGCGCAGCATAAACTAAGTGCAGCTTTAGTGCCGTATGTTGAAAATTGCAGCCTCCCAGACCCCATTCTTCTCTTTTGTGCTGATAAAAACTGACATTTTACCCAAATTGACGGGAATTAATAACTGCAATACTGCATCAGCAAAAAGAAAGTGGCGCAGTTATAATCTGCATCTCCGGGAACAGAAATATAGAAACAGGTATTACAAGTGTACACCATTATCACATATATACACGTAAACTCTTTAAAGCGACTTTTCGTTAGAAAATGTTTCAAGATATATGTCTGAAATAAAAATCTATCACAATAAAAAAAAAGGGAAGAAAAACAAACAAACAGTGCGTCTATGCTGGGGTGCCAACTAAATCCTAGAGCTAACCCAATCGGTCGCTGATTGTCCGCCCTCTTGGTCAGGTGATGCGATGTCGCAATGCACTTTTTGCCCCTATGCAGTTGCAGCTATGCTCCCGAAATGATGCAGTTGGCAGTGACGTCAACATGTCGTCGCGATTCAGTTTGTCGATGGAGATAACTTTGCAGTCGTCAGGCAACTTTTACAGGTGTTAATTTGTTTTAATGGTTATCATATATTTATCCACAATTTGGCCGATTCTTGACTCGCATTATCGTAAAAGAAAAGGTGGACCAGTCGTGGTTTTTTTTTTTTTATTTATTCTATACCGGGTCCTTTTTCAAGACCGTTGTAGGAATAGTACACAAATAACAATACACAAACAAATGCAAATTCAAAATGGCAAATAATATAAATTGCAGTAAGAAAACATGTAACGAATGCACGGAAGAAGCACGTGGAGAGAAAAAGTAAAGTACAAGTTTTCTAAACCTTCTCGAAGTTGTAATTTAAGCATAATGTACGTAAAGTACTACTTAATACTTTAAACCTACTTGAAGTAGTACTTTAAGTATAATCTACCTAAAATACCTCCCAACGCTGGGCAAAAAAAAAAAAAAAAAGCAAATACAAATAAAAAAGTACAAGCGAAACAAATTAAGTATTTACTAAATGATAAAGTTTTTTCTTGCGTAGTACTATTTCAGTGGGAAGGTTGTTCCAGTCTTTGAAGGTGCGAGGAAAACATGAGCACTTGAATGCATTATTACATGGCAATGGTTCTACAATATAATACTGATGTTGGCAACGTGTTTTTGAAATCTCAGAAAATGATATGTACTTCTCCCGACCATTGATGTTAGCCATGTCGTAAATTATCTGGTTGCCCAAAGATAAATCTAATCGCTTTTTTTCTGTGCCATATATTGATATTCGTTTTGGTGTACGGATCCCAAGTTAAACTTGCGTATTCCAGGATAGGGAGCACAAAATTGCATGCTAGTAATTTAGTATTGCATGCTGTCTGTCGTAATTTGCGTATAGTTTTATAGAAGCTTAATCTATAGCAGCAGTAATATGTTTGTCCCATTTTAAATTGTGGGTTATACGGAGGATTCCGTGTTTTCAGATAAAGGCGAAAAACTCGAAAAAATACTCGCCAATGAAAGTTTCGTCAATTCGAATTTTCCCGGAAACTCTAAATTTCGAAATCACGAGGTAGAAAAAAAAGAAAAAGAAAGGTATTTTACAAATAATGAATGGATGAATGGTAATGGCTATACCCTTTGTAGCGGGCGGAAGCTTGCGCCGCCTAGCCTAACATTTCATCATCTTTTTTTTTTTTTTTTTTGTAATTTAATAAGGTTTGTTATAGCAGGGTTATTAGTCCTAAAAAAGGCTACATCCGTTGTTTTTTTTTGTAGTCATTGACAAAAGTGAGTTTCCCGTTTATCTCTTCAGGGTTCGTTCAGTACAACAGGCCAAATTATTTCTGGGCAACGATAAGAGCACCGTTCCGGTTTCCAGTTTACACCTATCGTGCTTCTTAGATAGAGTAGAACTTTTGTTATTATAACAGTGAAAGTTATGAACCTGTAGGTTTCATAGGAGACGGTGGGCAGCTGAAGCGTTTACGCTTCCCATTGACTACGTCCAGGAGTTTGGCTATTTCAAATTACCGACGTTTATTGAAGCAACCCTTGTTTGCAAGATTTGTCGTAAGGCAGTTACTACTGCCAATCGCAAGGGCACGAGAATGACAAATGCAGCTGCATAAATATATTTCCATACCGGTGAGTTTTTATTATTATTATTATTATTCTTATTATTATTATTATTTTTTTTTTCAAGCCCTCTTCATGCCTAATTTTCAGTCTCTCTTGTTTGAAACGATCGTGCTCACTCATTACTGGAATGACGAATTCAAAACACCTCGTCCAACATCCCGTCAACTACGACTAGACACTCGATTTTATGTTCCCACGTGTTATACACGTTATGGCAAACACATGCGATGTTACTATGTTCCTCAAATTTTTAACTCGTTACCATCCAACTTTGAAGACCTGACTTCAAAAAAGAAACTAAGGAAAGCTCTACGTCATTATACTTCCTTAAACGAAACCCCTTGAAAGGCCTGTTCTTTTCGTGTTTTTTTTTGCGGTTCTTTTTGTGTTTGAAAGACCAAACGTCCCAGCTTTTCTTTTGCAACATTTTTTTAACATTTCTTTAAATTTTTATTTATGGTGCACATTGTATTTTGTTTTTACATTTTACTTTTTTCTAACTTTGTAAAGTTAATGTGATTTAAAAGGACCGAAGACTGATAGATATGCATATACCAGAGCTGATTGATAATACTGATTGGTGCTTCAGTGTACATACTGTTTGTATATAAAACATTTGACATTCTGTGTCCCAGTACCAACCTCTGAAACTTCACGAACTTTTCTCAAGACTGTGACAAAGCTGACTTTTTTTTTTCATTTGTACACTTACTGTTACTGCGACGCTCAAGATTTTTGTGTTCTTTTCTTCACTTGATACCTTTGCGATGCTCCAGCTTTTTTTTTCTAATACTTTTCTTGATGCTACTGTGATGCTTAACATTTCTGTTTTTAATACTTCACTCCATGTCACTTCAACTTAGGTTCTGTCCCACAAGCCCTCGATGGCTTTGACGAACCTGCATTCATTCCGACTAGTATCAAAGAGGAGCAATAAACTTTATTATTATTATTATTATTATTATTATTATTATTATTATTATAAATTTAGGGCAGTTTTTGTCCGACCATTTATTTGGAGTTTAAGTTTACTGCGTTCCAGTTTTTTTTCAAAATTCAATATAAAAAATATTGAATTTTGAAAAAAAACTGGAACGCAGTAAGCTTAAACTCCAAATCCCGGAGCATTTCGAATCTAAGAAAAATAAACTCCGATAAACCCCGAATTTCAGACGAAAGATAAGCTACGAAAAAACCCTCCGAATTTCACCACAAATAAACTCCGAAAACACGGAAGCCTATAGTTATACGTAGGCCTAGATAAGTATGTTTGTAAATCCGGACCAGCAATTGTTTGCCGATGTGGTATGTAAAAGGTGAGGGTTGTTTCCTATGGGTGGTAGGCATAGAGTCTTCTCTTCGATGAGTATTATTTGCCAATCCTTGCAGCACTTCGACATTCTCTGGAGGCTATTATTTAGGATGAGATGATCATCTGGACTTTTGATTTCATGCCATAAAATGCAATTGCCGGTATACAATCATAAATTCACATTAATTTTTAGTGGCTATATCATTATGGTGCCTGGAACGCGTCTCCGACTGGTGTGTTTACCGGGTTCAAAAAAGTGGTCCCTCGATTTCCGCCTGATGACGTCATAGAAGTGTCATGCTGTCGCCTGTTGCGACCCTGGCGGCGCCCCAACAGTAGTGATATAAGTGGCAGACGCCTGTTCTGCTGCAGGTCGCTTTCCACTGTGACAGTTCACGGAAGCTCGAGCAACCGGAAGTTGGGACGCCTAAAGGGACGCCGTGACGAAAGCGACACTCACGTTCGCTCGTGCTTCTCGCCAGCATTTCTACGGCCAACCGCCAGGATCGCGACAGGCAACAGCATGACACTCGCGTCATTTGTTGCCACATTGGGACCACTTTTGATG